TTTATATATATATATATATATATATATAAAGTAAATAATGCTATATGTGTAAAAGAATGGCCACTACTAAAACAAGGTTACAACTATAAATATGACTAAGGGTCTTCCGAGTTGTCTTCATTATGGACCAGTGGGCCTGTGTCTTTAAGCTGGGCTGAAGTGGATATAGGAGAATATTGCGGATAGAAGAACGATTGTCACAAACCACTGGAACAGGGGTGAGGGAAGAAATGCCAAACTCACCCAGCAACATGACCATCCATACAATTTTAGCAACTAAATGTCTCAGAGCCCTGTACTCAGCCTCTGCTGAAGAGAGTGAAATAGTAGCCTGCTTCTTGGACTTCCAGAAAACAGGACACCCACCTAATAGTAATACAAAACCACTAACAAACTTTCTGGAAATAGAACAGCTGGCCCAATCAGAGTCACAGAAGCCAGTTAAGGAAAAGGAAGAGGAGTTGTTGAATAGCAAACCCAACTCAGGTGTATCCACTAAATATCTCAACACATGCAACCCAGCTTCAAAATGAGAAACTCTGGGTTGGGACATAAACTGACTAAGATGTTGAACACTGTAAGAAGTTTCAGGTCGAGTATGTTAAAGAAAATTTAACTTGCCAACTAATTTTCTATACAAAGAAGGGTCTGGAAGCAAGTCTCCAGAATCAGCATCCAACTTAGAATGTATGTCCAAAGGTGAAACAACAGAACTAACATGGGGGCAACAGAATTCAGAAAGTAAATACATATTAAACTTATGTTGAGTGACTACCAGACCTTGAGGATACTTAATAATTTGCAAACCTAAGAAATAGTGGGCTTCCCCCAAATCTTTGATCCGGAATTGAGCATCCAAAAAATGTTTTAAGGTAAAAATTTCAGCATGATCATCACCAGTCAACAAAATGTCATCCACATAAACAGCTACAATAGTAAGGGAGCAACCAACCAATTTAGTAAACAAGGAATAACCATTTTTGTTAGGAATTTACCCCTTTGACTGAAGAGCTGAGGAGAGCTTTGCATACCACTGCCTTGAAACTTGTCTAAGGCCATACAAAGATTTGTTAAGTTTACAAACTAGAGGAATAAAAGGATCAGGGGAAACAACCTGTAGGCCAAGAGGTATCTTCATATACACCTCTTCATCTAAATCGCCATGTAAAAAGGAATTATTCACATCCAATTGAAAAATAGTCCAATATTTCTTAATAACAATACTAAGCAAGCATCTAATAGTGGTAAGTTTGACAACAGGAGAAAATATTTCAGTAAAATCAATCCCCTCTTGTTGAGTATCCTCCTTAATGACAAACCTAGCTTTGTATCTTTCTATACTACCATCTGCCTTTTGTTTAACCTTATAAACTCATTTAGAAGAAATAGCGTTCTTACAAGAAAGTAAAGGAACTATTGCCCAAGTATTATTTGCCTCTAAGGCTTGAAATTCAGCCAACATAGTAGCCTGCCAAGCAGGGTTAGACACAGCCTGATGGTAGAATTGTGGTTCAAACAAGCAAGCATCAGAAGTAGAATTAGATTCCTTAGAAATAGACACACTTGTGCAAACATAATCTTTTAGGTGTGGAGGAGGGTTATGTGGCCTGGATGACCTCTTTAGAGAAACAGAAGAATCACCAGAAGAGGAAGTAGAAGAAGGAGAGATATTAGGAGAAACAAGATAATCAGCAGGATTAGACATACAAGAAGGAAAGAAAACAGGGGGAGAAGAAGCAGAATAAGGAAAGACAGACTCTTGGAATGTAACATCTCTGGAAAAAAAATACATTATGCTTGGTCAAATTGAGCAACTTATATGCTTTCTTAGTCATAATATATCCAAGAAATACACAACTAATAGTTCTTGATTGAAACTTGTCCCTATAAGGCTTAGGAACAATAGCAAAACATAAACAACTAAAAACTTTAAGGTGAGAATAAGAGGGAGGCTGATCATACAACAGTTCATAAGGTATTTTATGATGGAGCAAGGGTGATGGAAACCTATTAATAAGGTAAGTATCAGTGAGAAGACACTCCCCCAGTACTTTAGAGGCAACTTAGATTGAAACAGTAGAGATCTAGCAGTTTCTAACATGTGTTTGTGCTTCCTTTCCACAACTCTCTTTTGTCGTGGAGTGTGTGGAAAAGAAGTCTGATGTATAATACCCTAGGAGGAGAAAAATGAAACAGCTTCAGCACTAGACCCTAACTCAAATGCATTGTCATACCTAAGTGTCTTAACAGAAAAACTGAATTGATTTTGAACTAAAAATATGAAAGATTTCAAAAGGGTGAAGGCATTTGACTTAGTAGAAAGAAAATGAGTCCAAGTGCCCCTTGAAAAATCATCTACAATGGTAAGAAAATATCTAAAACCATTATAGGTTTGAGTATGATAAGGGCCCCATAAATCTACATGAACAAGTTGAAAAGGACCGGTGATTTTAATAAAACTATTAGGGAAAGAAAGCCTTTGCTGCCTAGCCATAGGACAAATATTACAAATAAAAGACTGTTTCTTGGATAACTTATCTTTAATATGAGAAATTAATTTTATTTTATTAAAAGGCATATGACCAAGTCTGGGATACCAAAACATATCAAAATCAAAGGCAGAAGGAACAGGATGTACACCAGTAGTGACTGTTTTATTTGCTTCAGTGGTATTTATAGTGTTTGTGGAAATTGAATCAGATAGACAAGAAACAAAATTAGCAAAAACAGTGGAAACAACATCACCAACTGAAGTAGTATAAATGGAAGGTAGGAAAGAATCTGCCTGGAAGAGGTAGAGTCCATTGGAGATTTTACCAAGAACCAGAGGCCTCTTCAGAGAAGGGCCCTGTAAAACACAATCATAAGATGAAAAAAGAGCTTTACAAGCCAGTTATAAAAGAAGTTGATGCAAGGAAATCACGTTATATTGAAATGAAGGTACAAACAAGACATTATGCAGAATTATATGAGCAGATAGAGGTAAGGACCTTGAACAAGTCACCTTAACTCTATAACCATTTGGCAGGATCACTAAGTAAGGAATTACTAGAGGTTTTAGATTGATTAAGAGAGATTTGTTAGGTGTCATATGATTTGTTGCACCAGAATCTATTATCCAAGGATCACCTTCTAATCTAGACACATTGCAAGTAAAAACATAACAGTTTCTAACATCAAGACAGTGCACCAAACCTGCAAAGTTGGCAGATCCAGAAATGGCAGTGTCTTGTGGTGAGACCTTGGTCTGGTAGAACAGGTTCAACAAATGTTCATATTGCTCCTTTGTAAAACCATAGTTATTTTTGGTAGACTGCTCAGAATGATTATTAGGAATAGAAGTATCAAAAGTAACTACACTCTGAGAATCTGCTACATGAGCATAGGTTGTAGTCTTCTTGAATTTGTTTGGCTGAGAATTGTTAGGAGGACCACTATTAGGATAACCATGTAGTTTATAGTATTTTTCTATGGTGTGGCCTGGTTTTCTGCAATACTTGCATATCTAATTGGGCCTCTTAGATTCAAAAACAACCTTCTGTTGAAAGGGCCTCTGCATTCCAGCAGTAACAGGCAGGACCAGGATATGATTTTTGAACATTTGTTGAGAAGAAGGCAGTCTCAGGATATGTTGAAGATTGAGCCTCACACTAACTTTCATCATTGAGCAACATAGAATATGCAGTGTCAATGTCTGGAAGAGGCTTCATTGCTAGAATATTCCTTCTAATGATGGTGTAAGTATCATTTAACCCCATTAAAAATTGGTGCAACTTCTAATCTTCTTCCAATTTATGAATTGCTTCTTTACACCCACACACACAATTAGGATAGGTGATGGAGTAGGCTAATTCATCCCACAACTTTTTGATTCTAGAGAAATTGGCAGCAATGTTTGAGTTTCCTTGAGAAATTGAAGACAGACTTGCGAATTTGATAAACTTTGGATCCATTAGGTTGAACATAATGTTTTTCTATATTCTTCCACAGCTTAGCAGCTGACTCAGTGTACATTACACTCTCTCGAATTTGAGCTTCTAAACTATTCAAAATCCATGCAATCGCCATGTCATTGCATCGACACCAAGCCTCAAACAGTGGTGAAGTGGAATTAGGTTTGCTAATCGTTTCATTTATTATTCCTAGCTTATTTTTACATGACAACACAATCAACATTCCTCGATGCCAACTACCATAACCCATTCCATTGAATCTATCAACAACAATAACAGTTCCAGGATTATCAGTTGGATAGAGGTATAGTTGATGAGAAGGTTCGACAGTATTTGCATTAGAGCCAGTCGTAACAGAGGTAGAAGAATCAGTATTCAACATGTTGAAATTAGGGTTTATAGAAAAATTAGGGCACACAGTAGTGAAATGCAAAATTGAAAGAGAATACCAATCTTCTTCAGCAACTTGAAGAAGCAAAAGTCTTCATTATGGGCCAGTAGGCCTGTGTCTTTAAGCTGGGCTGAAGTGGATGTAGGAGAATATTGTGGTCCAACATAGTTTTCTTTTATAATCGTTCTTGTTATTTATTTTTAAAGGTGAACTTTGGAGCAACCATAAAAGTTGTCGCCGTGTGACTAGGATGTCACAGGTTTAAAGCACAAAAATAATATGTTGGTTCTACAAAAGACCCAATATGGTTTGTCTCTTCCTCTGGTCGTATTCCTGCACATAACGGGAGTTTAGTACAAGAAATGTTCTAGTTAATCATTTTTCGTTTTTTTTGGTTGTGGGTATTATGTGATGTTTTGATGATATCTGCTATGTATGTTCAATCAATGAAAACTTTATGTTTTATAAGTGTGATCTTTCTATCGTTTAATAGGACATCCCGATCTAATTATAAGATGAAATAATTAAACATTGATTCAATTGAGCTTAAATATTCGTAATAATGAAAAATTGATAAGCAAAGATGTGCGTGTTTCAGCAAATCCAATATTACACAATTGTGACGTTTGAGATTCGAGTTGTTGTATTTGTCCAGTATGTTTTAATTTTTAAAGAATCCTTCCCAAGAAAAAAAAGAAAGATATATATATATNTCAAGAAAAAGGACTCCATCATTATCGGAGCCTAAGATACTAATTTGGTTGGTATTCACTTCAAGAATTAAGTGTTTTTTTTTTTAACTAAATCGAAGCCATTTATTTTTGACAGAAGCTAAAAGAGTGTTATTATATTACAAAGATTTAAGTGATTTACTAAGTGTAAATCTCAAAATAACAAAAATCTTGATTAAAATCGTAATTTTTTTGGAAGAATTGTGTGCATGTCATCAATCCAATGTTACGTGTTTATGAGATTTGAGTTGTAATCTAATGAGTGTAATTGCGTTTTGCATAACTCAACGGCGGTTTTGAATTTTCAAGGAATATTTTCCTCTTCTATCTTCAATTCTTACTATTCAAATTCTTAGATTTTTTTTTTGAAAGAGAATAAAAGAAAAGAGAGAAGAAAATGTTATGTGATTATGATTTCAAATGAACTTTTTACACTAATAAGTTCTACTTTCAAGAGGAAGGATTTGATAACAAACGAAACCTAAAGATATTAATTTGATTGAGATTCCCTTCATGATTTAAGGGGCCAGTTTCCGATATAATCTACAATACAGCCCACTTAAATTATTGACGTGCAAAAAAATAAATTTATTATAAGAAAAAAGAAATTCTTTATTTGATCCAATTCCTATCCCATTTGATCGTTTTGCTCAGTTACTCAAATTTCATTAGTTATATCTTTAGAAAAACTAGTCTTACGGTACGCGCGTGTATCTTATCTAAGTAAATTATTTAAAAAAAATAACTAAATCATCACGCCAAGTAAACTAAATAGTCCAAAAATATTTTATTTTGGTGTGTGTGGGGGGTTGATAATTCCTATATATTTTTTATTTTTTAAATATTAAACTTTAAATATTAGCTAGCATTAAAATGTCTTTTCATGAAAAACTAAAATATTTAAATTAATTATAAATACAATTTTGTTTGAAATGGAGTATATTTTCAAAGCATAAAAAGTTGATCAATATTTTTATAGGGATTTGTGCTTTAAAATAGTATAGCTTAGATAGATATAAGAAATTGATAAATATAGAAAGTTGTTTGTTGATTAATTTATTTTTAAAAATATCTAATTGAATTGTTGATCACACCCAAATCTAGTCCTAAAAAGGATAAGCAGTCGCTGCAAATATTACCTGGCTTATAAGTCCAGGGTCGAATCCCACAGAGAATAAAGGCCTAGCTATAGCTATTTAATATCACTAAGAAAGCAAGTTCAAACAATTTTCGAGTGATAAAGATTAAAATTTTTGCTTTAAACTGCTTAACAAAAAAATACTAAAGTAATAAGATTACCAACTAAAGAGAAATATGTGAATTGAAGAGAAAAAAAGCCTAGGATTACGATTTTCTCAATTATGAGGATAAATTTTTAACGTGTTCAATATAATCACACCGATTTATTCTTCATTTATTGTCACGACCCGAAATTCCCACCTTCGGGACCGTGATGACGCCTAACATTTTACTTGCTAGGCAAGCCAACGTTAGAATAATCTTAACCATTTTTAAACGAATCAAATTAAACGGAATTCAATTACTGAAATAAAGTGTAAAAGACCGTAACTACCGAATCATCAAAATACATCCTCGAATCTGGTGTCACAAGTGCACGAGCTACTAGAATAATACAAAAAAAGGTCTCAATCAAATTCAAACTGTTTGAAAGATAATACACAGCTAAGATAAGATAGAAGGGGACTTCAAAATTGCGGACACTGTGCAGTTATACCTCAACTCTCCTCTGGATAGCTGAATCCGAGTAAGTCTATGGTACGCCGCTGGGACCAGCTCCAAAATCTGCACAAGAAGTGCAGAGTGTAGTATGAGTACAACTGACCCTCTGTACTCCGTAAGTGTCGAGCCTAACCTCGACAAAGTAGTGACGAGGCTATGACAAGACACGTACGTAAACAACCTGTACAAACATATACAAATACGAAGCAACAATAACACAATAATTAATAATTATAAATTTGAGAGGGAACATGCGAAGGGGGATGATATAATAATTTCAGTAGGAGAAGTGTCACGTAGCAGCGAATTAATTCATCAATAATAAAATGCGCAGCTGATAATATGAGAATGGCACGGCACCACCCTTGGTGCTTTTACTCTCATTCTTCCCATAAATTGATAAATAAATAATAATAATTGGCACGGCATCACCCTTCGTATTTTAACTCTCTTCTGGCACGACATCACCCTTCGTGCTTTAACTCTTTTTAAAAATGGCACGGCATCACCCTTCGTGCTTTTACACTCTTTCTCACCATGGCAAAGATAATATAAATAATATAAATGACACGGCATCACCCTTCGTGCTTTTACACTCTTTCTCACCATGGCAAGGATAATATAAATAATATAAATGGCACGGCATCACCCTTCGTGCTTTTACACTCTTCCTTACCATAAAAATAATAATATAAATTCGGAAGAATATTTAAATACGGGGATATATATACTTATCAATCAATTCAATACCAGAATACCGACCTCACCTTCCAAAATATTCAACAATAATTAAACTAACAATAGTCTCATGAAAAATGATCAAATAAACAATAATAATCTTAAGCAGGAATATCTTAATTAAATAGTTAATTATTCACAATAAAAAAATTTCACCCGTATGCTTTGACTCAACCACAACGCATAAGTATTTGTCACCTCACATATACGTTGTACCCGTACATTAAATCACATAGCAAATAGACAAATAAGTCCTACTTTCTCAAGTCAAGGTTAACCACGACGCTTACCTTGATTTGCAACCAACTCAAGATTTCAATACACATTTGCCTCGCGAATTAGTGTCCGAAAGCTTCAAATCTAATCACAAATAATTCAATATACTCAACACGATTCGTAGGAATTAATTCCACATGAAATTTCTAATTTTCTCAATTAAATTCCGAATTTCATCTCAAAAACCAATAGTGGGACCCACTCTCGAATCTCGAAAAAACTTACGAAATCCGAACACCCGTTCCGAGAAGAGTCCAACCATACAAAAATTATTAAATTCCGATGTCAAATGGACCTTCAAATACTAAATTTTCGTTTTTGGAAAGTTGTATAAAAATTCTAATTTCTTCCATCTAAATCTGAAATAAACGATGAATATAAAAATGGATTTATGAAATATAATCACTTTCGGGTATAGAACACTTACCCAAGTCAAAATCGTGAAAAACTATTTTGGAATCGCCCAAATCCGAGACTCGAAACTCAAAAATGAGTAAAAATGGCTAAATCCCGATTTTATGGGTTCTGCCCAGGCTTTTTTGCATCTACGGGCACAAGTGCCGCATCTGCGAGCTCGCATTTGCGAGAATAATCTCACATCTGTGAAATGGCTTGCCAGGTTGGTGTCCGCATCTGCAGAAATTGGGCCGCATTTTCGGCTGCGTAGAAGCGCATGAAGGAGCCGCAGAAGCGGTACCTTCCGCATTTGCGATCGTCAAGCCGCAGAAGCGGTGGTCGCATCTGCGACCATTTTCTCACAGAAGCGAGTAGGCTTCCTAGGCTCCAAATTCGCAGGAGCGACGAGATTCACCGCAGAAGCAGGGCCGCACTTGCGCTCCTAAAGTCGTAGGTGCGAAATACCAGAACCAGACCTGTAAAATTTTACAAAAATGATCTGAAACACGTCTGAAACTCTCCCGAGCCCCTCAGGACCTTGTCCAAATATTCTAATAAATACTATAACATAATATGAACTTACTCGGGGTCTCATATCACGTCAAACAATGCTAAAATTACAATTCACACCTCGATTCGGACTTATGAGTTTCAAACTTTTAAATTTACAAAACTCGTGCCGAAACGTATTAAACGAATCCAGAATGAATTCAAATTTGGCACACAAGTCATAAATGATATAACAGAACTATTATAATTTTCAGAATCGAAATCCGAACCCGATATCAATAAAAATCAATTTGTGGTCATACTTTGAAATCTTTAAGCCTTTAAGCTTCTAGTTTTCGTCAAATGGCGATAATTCAATCTAGAGACTTCCGAATTAAATTCCGTGCATACGCCCAAGTGTCAAATCACGATATGAACCTACCGGAGCTGTCAAAATACGGATCCGGGTCCATTTCCTCAAAACGTTGATCGAAGTCAACTTAAATGAGTTTTGAAGTACTATTTCACATTTAATCAATTATTTTCACATAAAAACTTTCCGAAAAAATTTACGGATTACGTACGCAAGTCGAGAAATGCTGAAAGGTGCTATTCGAGGTC